CCACCTGCTCCCTCGCACAGGTGCCTGGACTCCAAGCCTTATTGACTCTATGAGCAAAGCTCTTCCCATGGCGGGATTTCAGGTGCAGAAATAGGGGATCGTTTGGGGTCTGTCTCCCTGTCTGGGCTTGGAAGCAGTTATGAGATAGGGATTGGGGGTGAACCAGATTTCTGAAAGTTGAGCTGAACTGGGCGCTGGGGCGGGTGTAGGAGGAGGACCCTCAAACCCAGGAAAGAATGGAGGGCTTTCGGGCACGCACCCTGGTGCCCTCAGGGAGGGTGGGTGACTTGTCAGCACGCGGTAGAGCCACAGCCAGCCAGAGGGGCGACCAGGAAAGTAGGCCCACACCTCCTTGCTTTCGCTCTGTGCCCTGCACTTCTGGACGGCCTCACTGGGGCCAGTCTGTAGCAGGGACAAACCACAGACTTCCTCTTCTCAGCCTGCTTGCCCCAGTGACCGTTTCCCCAAAGCTGTGCAGTCAGACAGCCTGGGGGAGCCAGGGAAAGTCCACACGCCCACTTGGTGAAACCAGGCACAGGATGTCCTAGCCCCCCTCCCCCACAGCGCCTGCCAGGGTTGCAGCCCCTCTCCCGGAAGGACAGCAACAGACCTGCCAAGTGACAGTCATGTGCTGTCTGGAAGCGAGAAATACCCGTTAGTGAGGCTTCTAATCAGTCTCTTTCCCGGCCGGGTTTGGCTGCCCTGCCACTGGGAGGTGGCCACCAGCTGCATTAGGTTGGGGGAGCAGCCAGTCCCAGGCAGGAGACACAGTTCTTCTCCCTGCAGGGACTGGTGACACCTCTCCTGGGCTCCCTGGCCAGCCCCCGAGGAGAAGACTCTTATATCCATTTCACAGATGAGGAAGGCAAGGCTCCCACGGGCCAGTCCCCTGCCCCGGGACACAGGCTTTCCTGCCCTGCTCCTGGCAGCAGTGGGTCTCAGGTGCCAGCTGCCTCTGATGGAGGCTCCCAGACCCACCCAAGGGACAAGATTTCCACGCTGCTTGGCCAGGGTGTCTGCAATATCTTCCCTGCTTGGGCCAGCCCCGCACCCAGGGAGACCAGTTCTCATTGGCCCCCAAAGCGGTCAGGGCGCAGGTGCACGCTGCCCGGACCTCCCCCTCGCACCTTGGCTCGGGAAGTGAGACAGCAAGAGCGTGAGTGTGTGTGCAGGTGGGAGTGAGGGTGTGTGCACATTCGTGTGTGTGAGTGCCTGTGCGTGTGTGTGTGGGCTCCTTTCTGTGAAAGAGGTCAGGCTACCCCAGCTGCTTTTTCCCACAGGCAAGGCCTTTTTCCTCTCTAAAACGGAACTTTTAACAAGCGCCCCATCCAGACACGCATTGTCAACCTCCTCCCCACCAGCCTCCCCTGAGCCCATGGGACTGCACTGAGTCCCTCTGGGCCCTGCAGGGTTCCTGCAGCCCCTTCCCCACTGCACATCCTGCCTGCCTGGGCTGGGTTCTCTGAGGCAGGGGTCCCTTTGGACCCTTGGCCAACCCCCATACCCTGAGCCCTTCCTGTACCAAGCCCCCTGTCAACACTCAGGCATGTCAGTGAATCCACCAACAACGCCAGGAGGCAGGCTCACTGAGGGCCCCCACTGCAGACGGGGGAGGCCAAGGCCCAGGACCAGGGCAGTGTGGTGGGGACTCCACTGAGGGAGGCCCAAGCCCATGGCACTGTGCTCTCAGCCACACACCCTGCGACACCACGGTGGAGGGGGTTCCACCAGGGTGGTGCCCACCAACCTCACCTCACCCAGCCTGGCATTCCTGGCTACAACAGAGCCCCAGTGGATGGGTGGGTCCACAGTGACTGTGAACGGACTCAGTTCTCAATGCTTTGCGGGGAGCGGGCCCTGGGGAGAGGAGTGGCGAGGCCTTGGAGACATTTCCTCGAGCCTTAATAACAAGCATCCCTGGGATGCGTCAGGTCTCCACCCCAGCTGCCTGGGAAACTTCCAGGCCCGCCGTGGCGACACTCCCGGGGGACTGCCAGGGAGACCTCTCAGCCTGGGCAGGCAGGAGGGACTCACCCAGCGGTGACCCAGCGGTGACGCATCATCCAGAGAGCAAAAATCCACCTCCAGAGAAGTCCCCTTCCCTGACTCCCCTTCAGCCCCCGCCCCCAGGCCCACACTCCCCTCATCAGGGGATGGGGCTCCAGGGGCCGGCAAAGGGACATCCTGTGTCCCGTGCCTCTCCCACATGCCTGGGCTGAAGCAGGCCACCACTAAGCAACGGCCGAGGTGCCAGGGCTGTGCCTGGGGAGGGCAAGCCCCTCCCAGATGGCCTCGCTGCCCCCACTGCCAGGGCAGAGCTAAAGGCTACAGTGACTCCCACCAGTGTCCCAAGCAGACTGTGCAGAACAGTCGGTCTTGGGGAAGGTGGGATGTGACCGCCCCACTCCTCTCCCAGCTGCGAGTTCAGTTCAGCCTCTGTCCTTCCCCGTCCAAACAATCTCCCTGCCCCAGATCCGCACTGGGATCCTCAGCAGTCCAGATGGGAAACAGATGTCTCTGGTCCCACACACTGGCTCCAGGGGCCATTTTAAAAGTTTGCCCTCCCTGCCTCAACTTGAGAAACACTCGGTCCACTGGGACATCAGCCGAGTCTTCCACGAGAAGGGGGTGACAGCCTGGGGGGACACGGGGAGGGGCTTGCAGTGTCTGCCTAGGGGCGTGGCCGCGGGGAGGCCACGATCATGGACACCCACTCCAGTCCTTCCAGGCCAAGAAGGGATTTCCACCCCTTCCCCAATTCCAACACTGACAGGAAATGGAAACAAAAGGCGAAAGCCCATCAGTCACTTCCCAGCAGCAAAGACTGCGGTCAGGAGAAAGCCATTCTCAGCAGGAGACCCTCCTCCACCCACGCTGGCACCCAAAGATGGGGGCCCCTCTTTCCAAAGCAGCGGCCCCACTCCCAGACCCTGCCATCCACTCCAGGCCCCTGGTGCCACTCTCTTCCTTGTGCCAACTCAGAACCGCGGGACCCCACTCCTGCAAGGCCTCCAGAGCCCTTCTGGGAGGAGGCCTAGGCTGGAACGTGTCTGGGTGAGGAGAGGGAGATCGGCCCCCAGGCAGGACAGCCAGGGTGCGCGCACCCCAGCTTTTGGGCCATCCCAGCGGTGACGTCCTTTTAGGCGCGACCCCCGGGAAGGTCCCGGGTGGTGACAGCAGACTGGCGAGTTAGCTGGGCTGGGGAGAGAGTGAGGCAGATCGCCCCCAACCTCGGGCAAAGTGTGCGCCCCCGCCCCACCATCCAGGGGCGGCGGCCCTTGATGAGCTCATGGGGGCGGGGCGCCAGGAGTCCCGCCCGCGAGCACCCCCTTCGTCCACGCGAAGCAGCAGTCCGGAATCTACGGCCAGGGACCCGCGCAGGCCCCTCCTCAGCTGAGGGGCGGCCGGGTACTCGGGTCCCGGCCCGCGCCCACCGCACCCATCACTACCACTTAGCGGGAACTGCCCGGCGGCCCCCAGAAGCCCCGGCCCGGCCGCAGAGCTGGGCCCCCGCGCACGGAGGCCCCGAAACTCGGCTCGCAGCCCTCAGCCCCAAAGTTGGGGGGCGCGGCGGCCCCGGGCGACCCCCCACCCCGCTCCTGGAGCCCACAGGTGGCCCCACAACTTGGCGGCCCGCGCTGCGCCCGCGGGGCCTAGCACGCGGCCGCGGGACCTGCCCGAGGTGGGGTGTGTGCCCGTCCCCTCCCGCCCTGGCCCCCGGCCCAGCCCTTACCCAGAAGACAAAATTGAAGACGAAGAGCAGGTACTTGATGCACTTGGTACACCCCTCCACTCCCATGGCGACGCGGGCGGCGGGCGGCCTGCGGGGCGCGGGCCGGTCCTGGGAGGCGGGCGGGCCGGCGCGGGGCCTGGCGGGCAACCGGCAAGGGGGCCTGGCGGGCCTAGGGGCCTCGGTGCGAAGAACGGGGCGCGGGGGCGCAGGGGCGCGGGGGGCGCGGGGCGCCGGAGGCCTGGCCGGATGCGCGGTGGGGTCGCCGCTATCTCCGCTGCTGCGCGCTCGCCCTGTGGCCGGGCGCGCGCGCCGCTCAGCACCACTTATAGGACGCCTCGGTCCCGCCCCCCGTAGGCCCCGCCCCGGCCAGCTCGCGCCCCGCCCCCGGCCCCGCCTCCCGTCGCCAGGGCGCGCATCGGAGGGGTATGGGGGCGCTGCACCTACCCCCAACTTGGCGCGTTTCGGCCAGGACCTCAGGGCCCGGGTGCACCGTGCTGGGCGCGGGAGGCGTCCCTGAGCTGCTGTCGCGCTCCGAGCCCCCGAGGGGGTGGCAGCAGGGCCGCGCCTGAGGACAGGCATGCAGCGTCTGCCCAGGAGTGCAGGCCCGGTGCCGGGAGAACAACCTATTCCTCCCTCCCTCAAGCACCTTGGACAATCTGGGAGGGCTCCCCAAAGGAGGTGAGCACCTTGGACAATCTGGGAGGGCTCCCTAAAGGAGGTGATGCCACAGTGGTTGGCTTTGCAGAGACAGGAGGGTTTGCTCACATTGCTCTCCGGGGCTGGAACGGGGGCAGGCATGAGGCCCCCTAGTCAGTGTTGGCCTCAAGTACAGGCAACCAATCCCTGTCCCATGGAAGGGAAGAATTGCTGACCCATGCTGCAGGAGTCTGCATCTGAAAAGGTCACTGGGCCCTGAGAGGGCAGCTCCCAGACCAGTGTGAGGTGTCCAGGAGGCCAGAGCCACCTATAAGAGAACCTCCAGATATTGCATCTATTTCATCCACATCCTGATTGTGTTGTGCCCCAGGGATGCCAGCCTCACGCTGTGGCTCTTCCTGTAGGTGTGGGGCCAGGCCCGCTGCACTTACTGCTTTGGGCTAATGATTCAGAGTGAGGGGTGCTTCCTGTCCAGAGGAAGGAGTGAAGGCCTTCGCAGGAGATGACACACCGACAAAGGTTTCCCATGCCCTCTCCAAGAAAATTGATGGACAACAGGGCTGTGTCGTGGGCGGGAGCTTACCTGGGAACCACGTGGAACCAGGTCTGGAGAACCGTGCTCTAGCTAGCTCGTCTTAGCAAATGTCGTCCAATCCAGTGCTAACTGATAGAACCTTCTGCAATGATGGGAATGTTCTGTAGCTGGATAACCCCTGGCACAAATGACTACTGGGTACTGGAAATGTGGCCACAAGGAACCGAATTTTTCATTGTGTTTCACTGTAATTTAAATTCACATGGCCCTGGGTGGCCAGTAGCGCTCACATTGGACAGAACAGCTCTATTGTAATCATCTGTGCTCTACCAGTTTTCTGGGTGGTTAGTTTGTAAACTGGTTTTGGCTTCATGCCTGCATAAGAACTACAAGCACGAATTTATGCCTGGTTTTACATTTTGTGCCTGTCAAAGTGACATTATAAGAAAAGACACTATATGGTCACTTGAGAGTCTTTGAGGGTTCTTTTTGTTTAGAAGGGAATAGACAAGGGTTCCAGTGTGAGGAGACATTTCTCTGGATGTCCTGGACACCTGCTCTCCCATCAGCTCCCTGCTGTCCCCAGTGATGGGGACATTTCCCGCTAAAGGTGTGGGCTGTGTCCTCAGCAGGGGGAGTTGGGTGGAGGGAGACGCTGACTCCACTCTCAGGAAGTGGGAGGAGGGGGCAGATCCGTGCACACTGTGTCCTTGACCACCAGCCTCAGAAGCAGGCCATGCCCGGCCAGCAGCCAGCCTGCCTGTCCTCTTCAGCCATGCATCAAATATTTAGTGGGTGCCTGCTGTGTTCCAGGCACTGTTCCAGGCCCTGGGTGTGGGAGCCAGGCAGCAGACCCCTCTCCTTGAGGACCTGCCGCTCTGGCGGAGATGACAGGTGTCACAGCACGATGGTCATATCAGTGCTGGAGAGGGAGGGAATTCCTAGGATGCTTGCTAGAGGGTCATGGGGTTGGGCCACTTCTCAACCACAGGGCTGGGGCACGCCAAGTGCAGAGGCTTGGAAGAGCCATGATGGATCCAGGCCCTGATGCCTGAGAAGGAGTCAGCCAGGCGGAGCCGGGGAGGAGCACTCCAGGCAGACCGGTGAGGCTAGAGGAACACAAGCAAAGCAAGGGCCTCAGAGCGGACAGAGCCAGGGGAAAGAGGCTTGACACAGGTCAGGGGCAGGTGCAAGCCTAGGAGGCAGGGGGGCTGGCCTTGGGACCTGGAGGCCAGAGGAGGGCTGCATTTTATTGTGACTGCAGTGAGGTGATGGAGGGCTTCATGGGCCTGACTTCTGATTGCAGGGGCAGCAGCCTGTCTCAGCTCCAGAGTGGAACTCACATTCACAGGCACTTGCAGGCTCACAGGGAGGACTGACTACGAGGAGGTAGGAGGACCACTTCACAGGGCCTGGGTTGTGGGAGCACCACATCTGAAGTGCCCTTCCCAGCGGCCCACTGGTGTGACCTCATGGGGACCTTGGGGATCCCATGGCTGACATGGCTCGTGTCTGTGTGATACTGGGACAGTAGGCACCCGGGAGTGCATCTGAAAGGGTTCCTGTTGTGGGCTGTGCCTGGTGGAGCTTCCATCCTGGCTCCAGGACAAATATCCAGGTGGACTCTGTCAGAGGATGAGAGGGAGAAAGGGGAGGGGCTTGCCCAGCAGCCCGGCCTGGGATGGGAGCACCACTCCCTGGGCCTGCCCTGCCCAGGCTTGCCCCTGAGAAGGCTTATGCCTGGGGAAGGTGGAGCTGCTGAAGCAATGTGGGCACAGCCGGCGGCACATTGAGGAAGGGCAGGCGTTTGCAGCCTGGCTGGGCTTGTGTAGGAGTCTTCCCGTCCCTGTGACTTCAGGCTGGTCCCTCAGATTCCCCATCTGCAGAAGTACCATCTCCCAGCATTTTGGGACAGGTGACATGTGCATATATTCCCATTGCACTTGGGGGACAGGGCCTGGCCTGTGGGAGGCGCCAGGTCCCTGGCTCCTTGAAGCCATGTTTGACAGAGACCTTTCCCCCTGGTGTGAGGTGACTCACAGCCCCAGTGGAGTACACCTTCGGTTGGCGGAGCCATTCATGAGACCCCTGTGCCTTGATTTCTCGTGGAATACGTGAAGATCACTCAAATGAGGACAAGCAGAGGCTGTTTGTGCAGTGCTCACTCTAGCAGGGAGTTGGCCACTGGCACTCGTGTTGGGCAGACACGCACAGGCAGGTTGGGGAGTTGTACAACTTTCTATTAAAAGGGGTGGCAGAAGTGTTTGGATATTATCAACACCCAAAAAGCAACCAAGGTAATAAATACACCATATCCATAGAATAAGGGACAGAAACCATACGATCATCTCAACAGACGCAGGGGAAGCACCCAAACCAAAGCTCACACTCTTCCCTCATAAAGAAGCATTGAACTCACTAGAAATGGAAAGGACCTGCCTCCACCTGATAAACAGCACTGACAAAAATACCCCAGCTAATGTGGTGTTCGGTGGTGAAAGCCGGGTAGCTCTTCCCCTGCGATCAGGAGTAACGTGGGGTGAACACTCCCCGCTACCATTCAACACTGTCCGGAAGGCTCTGGCAGGGCAATCAGGTAAGAAAAAGACGTTAAGGGCACCCATATTAGAAAGGAAGAAGTAAAATGCTGTGTTGAATATCTGTGCCCCGCCCAGTGTTGAAATTCTTACTCCTCAGGTGATGGCATTTGGAAGTGAAGCCTTTGGGAGATTAGGTTATGAGGTCAGAGCCTTCCTAAATTGGATTAGTGTCCTTATAAACGAAGCCTTAGAAAGACCCTGGGCCCCTTCCTTTCACTATGGCGGACACAGTGAGAAGACAGCTATCTGCGAACCCAGAAGTAGGCCCCGACCAGACACCAAACCTACCGGTGCCTTGACCTTGGACTTCCCAGTCTCCAGAACTGTGGGAAATACATTTGTGTTGCTTATAAGCCACTCGGTTTATGGTAGTCTGTTGTGGCAGCTCAAAGGGACTAAGACATAAAACTTTCTATTTGCTGGTTATATGACACCATATATAGAAAATCCACTAAAAACTTTAAAACTAATAAACATGCATAGCAATGTGGCAGGATACAAGATCAATATACAAAAATCAATTTTATTTCTATACCCTAGCAATGAACAATCCAAAAACGAAATTAAGAAGACAATATTTATAATATCGGCAAAAAGAACATACCTAGAAATAATTTTAGCAAAAGAAGCGTAAAACTTGTGTACTGAAAAATACAAAATATTTTTGAAAGAAATCAAATAATATTGAATTAAATGGAAAGATATCCTGCAGTCATGGATCAGGAGACATAATATTGTTAAGATGGCAAAACTCCCGAATTCATCTATAGCTTCACAATCTCTATCAAAATCCCACCTGTCTTTTTACAAGCTGGTCCTCCAATTCATAAGGAAATTCATAAGGAAATACAAGCGTTTTGTATTTGTATTTTAGAAGAGCCAAAACAATCTAGAAAGAGAAGAGCAAAATTGGAGGGCTCACATTTCCTGATTCAAACTTACTGCAAAGCTACAGTAATCAAGACAGTGTGGTACTGGCATAGGGATAGGCATACAGATCAATGCAGTAAAGTTGAGACTCCACAACAAATCCTTGCATTTATGGTCAATTGATTTTTTTAAAGACAATTCAAGTGCAGCAGTGAGAAGGGGGGAAAGAGTAGAACGAGGTGTTCCATCTGTAGCTGACTGTGAACAATCAATTGCGATAACTCACTGCCTTCAGACCAGCCATCAGTTGATTTTTGACAAGGGTGCCAAGACAATTCAATGGGGTAAGGAATAGTCTTTTCAGAAAATGGTGCCGGGACAACTGGATATCCATTGGCAAAAGAATGAAGTTGGACCCCGACCTCATGCTGTGCACAAAAATTAACTCAAAATGGATCGTAGACCTAAATGTAAGCACTAAAATTATAAAATCCTTAGGAAGGCCAGGCGCAGTGGCTCACACCTGTGATCCCAGCACTTTGGGAGGCCGAGGCGAGCGGATCACCTGAGATCAGAAGTTTGAGTCCAGCCTGGCCAACATGGTGAAACCCCGTCTCTACTAAAAACACAATTAACTGGGCGTGGTGGTGGCGGGTGCCTGTAATCGCAGCTACTCGGGAGGCTGAGGCAGAAGAATCACTTGAACCCAGGAGGCAGAGGTTGCAGTGAGCCGAGATTGCACCACTGCACTCCAGCTTCGGTGACAGACAGAGACTTTATCTCAAAAAAAAAAAAAAGAAAGGAAAAAGAAAATAAAAAGTAAAAGTAAAATCCTTAGGAAAGGACATAGGAATAAATCTTGGTGACCTTGTGTTAAACAATGGTTTTTAATATGCACTACCAAAAGCACAGGCAACAAAAGAAAAAATAGAGAAATTAGACTTGGCCAAAGCTAAAAACTTTTGTGCATCAAAGGACACTATCAAGGAAGTGGAAAGGCAACCCACGAAATGGGAGAAAACCTTTGTGAATCATCTATTTGATAAGGAGTAGTATCTAAACATGTAAAGAACTCTTATAACTTACCAACAAAAAGACAAACCACCTACCTTTAATGATGGATAAAGGATTACAATAGACCTTGCTCCAGAGAAGACGTACACATGACCTATAAGCTCATGAAAAGATGTCCCCATTATTAGTCATCAGGGAAATGCAAATCAAAACACAGTGAGATACCACGGCTATAAATAAAAGAGACAGACAATAACAAGTGTTGGCAGAGGTATGGAGAAGTTAGAACCCTCCTTCATTGCTGGTGGGAATGCAAAATAGTGCAGCCACTTTGGAAAACAGACTGGCTGTTTCTCAAAATGCTAAACACAGAGTTGCCATAAAAACCAGCAATTGCACTCCTAGACATATGTGTGTGTGTGTGTGTGTGTGTGTGTGTGTATCCAAGAGAAATGAAAGCATATGTCTGTATAACAATATGCACATGTACAAAAGTAGTGGTTTGTTTTGTTGTTTTGTTTTGTTTTTTGAGACAGAGTCTTGCTCTGTTGCCCAGGCTGGAGTGCAGTGGCGCACTGCAACCTCCGCCCCCCGGATTCAAGAGATTCTTCTGCCTCAGCCTCCTAAGTAGCTGAGATTACAGGCATGCCCCACCATGCCTGGCTAATTTTTGTATTTTTAGTAGAGACAGGGGGTTTCACCATGTTGGCCAGGCTGATCTCAAACTCTTGGCCTCAAGTGATCCACCTGCCTCATCTTCCCAAAGTGCTGGGATTACAGGCATGAGCCACTGCACGCAGCCAACACTAGTTTTAATAGCTAAAAAGTGGGAACAATTCAAATATTCATCAATGAATAAATAAATAAACAAAATATTGATCTACCCATACAGTGGAATATTATTCAGCCATAAAAATAAACAAAGTACTGATACAAGCTACAACATGGATGAACTTTGAGGATATGATGCTGAAGGAAAGAAGCCAGACCCAAAAGACTGTTGTGATTCCATTTTTTTTCAAATGGTTAGAATGGGCAAATTAATAGAGATGGAAAGTAGATTGCTGAGTGGCTGCCTGGGGCTTTGCGGACACGATGGGGAGTGGGTGCTAACAGGTATCTATGGGGGTCTGTCTTTGGGATGTTGAAAATGTTCTAAAATTAGGCAGTGGTGATGGTTGCACGATTCTGTGACTACTCCAAAGTCACACCACACTAAGTCTACAGTTTAAATTGCTAAGTTTTATGCTCTATGAATTTTATCTTATTAAAGGTATAAAAGACCTTCCAAAGGCCGGGCGCAGTGGCTCACGCCTGTAATCCCAGCACGTTGGGAAGCCGAGACAGGCGGATCATGAGGTCAGGAGATCGAGACCATCCTGGCTAACACGGTGAAACCCCGTGTCTACTAAAAATACAAAAAAAATTTAGCGTGTTGGCAGGCGCCTGTAGTCCCAGCTATTCGGGAGGCTGAGGCAGGAGAATGGCGTGAACCCGGGAGGCGGAGCTTGCAGTAAGCCGAGATTGCCCCACTGCACTCCAGCCTGGGCGACTGAGCGAGACTCTGTCTCAAAAAAAAAAAAAGAAAAACTTTCCAAAATACCAACAAAACCAACCAAGAGAGAAGGCTTCAGATGTGTGCTGCTAGAGGCAGCAGGCTGGGGAGGCTGAGGCTGTGGGCTGGGGAAGCTGGAGGCAGCCACCCTTCATCAGGGGCATATTTGCCTTCCTGCAGTTGGTCTTGAGTTGGGGGCAAAAATAGGGAACCTGGCAGCCATTAGCCGTGGCCTGAGCCTCTGGGCTGATTGCTACAGAGGTGTGCTTTGGCTTCCAGGCTTCTCAGGGGTCAGAGTTCTATTGACATATGTGATCCGGCCGCTGCCCGCCGGTATCGTTAGTCTTTCC